AATTGGATTGAGAAACACCTAGGAAGTTAGTAAAGCACACTTCTGGCTGTGTCTGTGAGGGTGTTTCTAAGTTGTCGGCTTGTGGGACAGCAAACTGAGTTGGGAGACTCAATGAATGTGGGTGGTATCACTCTGTGGGCTGAGGGTCTGGATAGAACAAAAGTGGAAATCATGACTCTCCTCTCAATATATGTCCCCCATTTCCTAGGCGCCATGAAGTGAGGAGCTCTCCCTCTGCCATCACTATCTACCATCATGTTTTTGCCTTGCCTATAGACAATAGACTGAAACCTCTGAACCTGAGCCAATATAAACCTTTCCTCCTTTAATTTGATTTTCTCAGGTGTTTTGCTATGGTGATAGAAGCTAACATAGCCTCCAAAATACATATCTTCAATTCTACTGTTTTTCATTATTTCCACAGCTAATGCCATAGCCCAGACTAAGCCATTGTCCTCTCTTATCTGAATCCTCACAAAGCCTCTTATGTTTACCCTTGTTCCCTTATGGCCCATTCTGCACATGATCTCCAGAGGGTTCACATATTTTTTTTTTCAGTCTCTAATGGCTTTTCATCAGAGACAAAAAGAAATTTAAAAACCCTTACCATGGGGGCTAGGGATTTAGCTCAGCAGCATAAGCACCTGCCTTGCAAGCAGGCAGTCGTGAGTTCGATCCCCGGTACCGATAAAAATGAAAAAGACCAAAAAAACACAAACAAACAAACAAACAAAAAACCCCAAAAAACCCTTACCATGGCCTACAGGTCTTTCATAATTTATCTTTGCCTACTTTTATGACTTCATCCTCTGTCCCTCTACTACTGGGTTCTATTAATATTGGCACATCTGGCTGTTCTTGAGGACTTTAAATATTTCTGCCCAGAATTTTTTATCCTTGTTGGTTCCTTTGCCCTAGACATTTGCACACCTGACTCTTGGTCATTATTTAAATTTTGAGCCCTGATGTCGCTTCACTGCAGTCACTTTTCACCCAATCACCCTGTTTTACTTTTAAAAATCTCTAAACTTATCTAATATATATGATTTGGTTTAAAACTTATTCATATCTAATCATTAAAATAGTAATAACCTCTTTTGGAAAGAAACAATCTTTTCTGTAATTGTGCTGTACTTCTGTGTGTGTCCTTGAAATGGTGTCATTGTGAATGAGTCATTATGACTGGGGAAGCCAGAAACCTTGAATGCATTTGGTGTCCCTGTACTATTCCATTTCTTCTCAGGATGTTCAGCAACCTGCTGTTCACATCTTGTCGCTTGGCCTCTTTGAGCTTTCTTAGAGCCTGGAGGCAAACCACAGCTTTTCCTGAGGTTTGCCTGTTACTGCTTTTTGTTTCCAGACCAGAGTAATCTACAGAGCCACTTCCTCCATATTTGCCAGTCAATATTCTTGGCTACAGTTTCTGTTCTTCTGCAGGCTATATGGGAACTTCTGGATATGTTCTATATCACACAGGTGCTAAAGGCCAGTCATGTTGCCAGCTCTTTCCAAGAGTCTGTATTTAATTTTCCAAATATAATTTTGTGTTCTTTTCTTAGAAAATACATAGCTCTAACATCCTTAAAACTTGGATTTACCTGTAGACTGAGGGTTCTCTATGAAGAAATTTCTTTCTTTTTCCTACAACACTGTGGCATCCCTTGTACCCAGATATGGCTGGCTGTTCTGTGATATAGGCATAACTGATGTGGTCTCTAACTTAGAATTCCAAACAGGAAGAAGAGCAGGAATCCTTACTCTTTTGAAGAGCTAGAAGACAAAAACACATGTCTTTCAAGTGATGTCTGTCTTACTGCTTGCTTCCTTCCTTTCTCTACCTTTTAATTAAGAGTCAGGCCTTTCCTTTCTCTGTTACAGCCTAGTGGCTTAGCCTTTCTGTGCTGCAAGAAGTTCTGTACATCTTTTGGAATGTGGGAGAACTCTGAGATTCTTATTATTTGCTGCACTTTACAGGTTAAGTGAAACCAAAAAAATTTGGCAACTTCTTTTTCACTCTAGTAAGCTTATTCTATTCTCTCTTGATGAGGGGAAAAATGTCTTGAGCTCTACTTTAAATAAGAGTCTATATTGGAACATAATTTTAAAAAATTAAAATGAATTAGCTTGATATTTATAAAATATTATCTCCATTGTATTCTAGTTTTATTTCAGAGAAGTCAGAAAAATGGGTTTGAGGGTGAAGTTTACTTTATTTAATTATTTTATTTTATTTAGTTATTTAATTTTTATTTAATTATTTAATTTTAAAATTTTATTTTATTATTATTTTTGAGATGGAATCTTGCTTTGTAGCCCAAGCTGGACTTGCACTTGCTATGTAGCCCAGGCTAGTCTTGAACTTGTGATCCTCCTGCTTCAGCCTCCCAAGTGCTGGGATTACAGAGCTGTATTTCACCACACCCAGTTTATTTTAAATGTTGGCATAAAAATTAAAACTCAAATAAGACAAAATAACACTCATAGTAGGAACTAAAAGTATTCTAAGAGCTTTAACAGATGTCAGCTATTTTTTCCTCCACTGACCCATTTTTCAGATGGAGAAATCAAGTCATAAATAACTTGATCAAGATCACATAGGTATACACAATACAAATATATATTTGTGGGACAGATTAGACCACCAACATGCAATCTTTAATTTATAATATTTCAAATATATAATCAATGAAGTTAGTCTTTGAATTCTGATTTGACATCTTTGCTTGCTGACCTTGCACCTTTATGAACACCTTTGAAAATTACAATTGGTTAATGTAATTAATATCACTTAATATAGGTTCTCTTTTCTCCTTCCACCATATGGATGATTATATTGAATATTCCCATTATACTTGTACATTATCTGGAATACCCAAGTCCTGCTGATAATTGAAGACCCAACATATTCTTAATATCAGTAGAAACAGTCTGATATAGGAGAAAGCCCCAGGCTGAGGTTGTTCTAGTCCTGATGCTATTACTAATCCTTGTGTTATCTCAAATAAACCACATCTGTCCTGGGTCTGTGGCTCCATCTGTAGATGTAGAATCGGGGTTTGGCTTAGTGGTAGTGTACTTGCCTGGTATGCATAAGGCCTTGGGTTTGATCCCAAGCACCATGCCTCCCAAAAAGTGGAACTGTGCTAAATCAATGGCTTGAAATTGTGTTCTGAGAACCCAAACATTTCTCTAATGGTGGGAGGGGTTATAAAAGAAGGGGTAGAGGGTAAGACAGTTTGGGTGAATAGGCTTGTGGACTCCCCACTTCTAATTGAAATTTAGCACTTCCACTTTAAGCCTTTAGATTTTATCAGAAAGGAGTATTCCACTGCCAATAAAAGAGGTGGTAATCACTAGACTTTTTTTTAAATTTTTTTGACTTTTTGAGACAAGGTTTCACTATGCAGTTCAGGCTGATCTTAAGCTCACTTTAGCCCAGGCTGGTCTCAAACTTGCAATGATCCTCCTGCCTCAGCCTCCCAAGTGCTATTACAAGTGTGCGCCACCATGCCCAGCTCACTAGACGTTTTGTGTACCTATATTTCCTGGAACTTACATTTTTAAAAAAAATTTTCTTCATGGAACTAAAGAATCTAATATTTTTTAGAAAGCCTGCCCAAAGTGAGTGTGTGTGTGTATATATATATGTATATGTATATATATATAAACATATATATATATATATATATATATATATATATATGTTTTGTCTTTCTTTCCTTTCATTTACCTAGCAGAGAAGTTAAACAGGCTTAAAGAAGAACCAGCATAGAAATTTCCAATAATTTCACAAAGTGTTCAGCAGGATGCCTCATTAGCAAATTTTTTGGGTTTGAAACAGCTTCCACATGATACACACAGAAGTTGCATCATACTATCTTGTGAATTTAGAAAAAAAACATTTCCATTAGAATGTTTAATTATGGGGACTGAATGGCCTACGAGAGGCAACTTCTTTGTATTTCTTATCATATGTCTCCTCACTGCTTTCCAATATCATTAAGAACTCTATCAGGGGATTTTTTTTCTCCGGTTGTGGTGTGGGGGGACTAGAATGAACATATGAGGTATGATTCAAGCCCTCATTCTCCTTAGCCATCTTCAGTTTCAGATCTAGTTCAGGTTTCAAGACAAGACAGACAAAATCTACTTTCTACTTTCCTATTTAGATAATAAGATGCTCACATGTAAGTCAAGTTCTCAAGCTTTTCAGTAAAGGAGAATGAGTACACATAGCAGCCATAAATAATCATGCACCTGGCCAGGAGTACTACAATATTCTTGGATTATGATGGTACCTTCATTTTAAATGTCCTCTCCTACCTTGCAGACCGTTTGATGCACTGAAAATTCTGGATGTCTGTGACTCAAATCTTGATTTTAGTTCCACACCAGGCACTAAGTATTTTGGAATAAATTACTTCCTCGGATCAGGCAGCAATTTTACCACCAAGAGCACCAGAGTAGAAAGTTTATGGGCCTTGCTCATTTTGATAGTCTAAGGACAAATTAATATTGAGAGAAATTGTCTTCATTTGTTGGTTCAGTCTTCAAAATCACCAAATGATCTGATTTTGAGGTTATGAGTTAGTCCTTGATATTCTACGCCTTGTCCTTCATATTAGGCTGTTTAAAAGTGGGAAAGTTGGTTTTTCTTGAGACATCTCATCTTATTGATTGGGATGCCTCATGTTGAGAGAGCCAATGAGAATTTAAGGTCATCATCTTCTCTTATCAATGGTATCTGTGTAGTCAACTGTAAGATGGTGATGTGGACCCCTCACTGACATTTCACTCAATCTTCCAAATTGCCCTTTCACTGAATTCTTTCATTATTCCTTCATCTCTGCGTCATGGTCCCTTTAAGGGAGCGGCCATATTTGAGTGGTGGGAGCAGCTGCTGGCAGCAAAGAGACTTGCAGGATTTGGCCTACCCTGCTCTACTCACCGCGCACGCTCAGGACCGGGGGCTTGGTGGGAAAGGTGGGAGGGACTTGTGGTGCGCCTGCGCATTAGGGGCGCGCGCAAGGGGCTCGTTTGTGATCCCTTTAAGAAACCGCAGGCGGAGGAATTTCTGAGAGAAAATAATCCTACTCACGGGGCCCCTTGGAGGCCATTAACCCCCGGAGTCCCGGCCCCCCTCTCCCGGGCAGGTCCTACCGCCCACGCGCACACTCGTGGGACCCTTGGAGCTGCGGCCAGGCGCGCGGCATCCGCCCCCTCTTTACTCCCGCTCCAGGCCCAGTTGGGTCCGGGAAAGCTGCGGCGAGGCGGCCGTGTCTGCAGTGTGGGCGGGGGCCGGGGGCCCGAGAGGTGCCGCCACCACCGTGCTGGGAGCCGCTGCGGTTCCGAGCGGGGCCCAACATGGCGGAGAGAGAGGTGGAGTCCGGCCCCCGAAAGAGGGTAGGTGAGGTGAGGCAGAACTCGGGCGGCGGGGGGCGAGGGGCGAGGGGCGAGGGGAGGGGCGGGGCGCGGCGCGGTCTGGGGCGGCGATGGGGCAAGCTTGGACTAGAGCTGGGGTCTTCTGCGTCCGGGAGGGAAGAGGTTGCGGGCAGGTCTGAGGCCACCTTGGGTCTGGAGCGCGTTGGTGAGTGGTCCTTGGGCAGGTGGGACAAAGATTTGTTGGTGGTGAGGAGGGGGAGGGGCGGGGGCTGTTGTTTGCTTCTGCTCCCCTTCTTCCTTCCAGTACTGGGGGAGTGTTGTCGGGGCCCGGAGAGGGAAGGTGTCAGATTCTTAACTACATCTTTACTGATCATGGATCAGTCTATGGAAGTTTAGCTGGGGAGAGGTCAGGTTGGGGTAGTGGTGGCGGGAATAAGTCTTGAAGGGGTCTCTTGAGGAATAACGGGAGGGCTTTTCAAGAACTCCATTGCAAATTTATTTTTCCTATCCCGCCCCCCCCCCCATATTCGTGGTGGGGGGACCAATGTAGAGGTGCTGCTCTTAATCTGTGAAGAGTGGAATCGTTGGCATGTCATGATTTAGATTTTGGCAACTACAGTACAGATGTCATGGTCTAGTCTAGCTTCTTTCCATGGAATTAGGAACGTGGAGGAGTGTGTCAAGTTTTGTCCTTACAGCGATGTACCCAACCAGCCTGTATAGGTGAAGCCAGTTCTACAGAGGAGTTGTCGAATTTGTTAAAAAGTTTGTGTTGAAACTTTTCTTATTTAATTCTGAGTGATTTTCTTCTGATGAAGAACAATACTACCCATTGATCAGTGCTTTTCAGATCCCCTTCCTTCTTCATGCTAAACAGTAAATTTGGTGTCAGGAATCTTCCTTTTAGGAATGGTCTCAGTCTATCAGTTAGTGTTAAAGTAAGCAGGTCAAAAAAAAAATTGCTTCTTAGTCTTTGTTGGGAATGCCCTTTCATCTTAGCACAAATTATCAATCTCTTAATGGTAGTATAGCTATAACGTTTTTTGTTTTGTTTTGTTTTGTTTTTGGTCTTTTTCATTTTTACCGGTACCAGGGATCGAACTCGCGACCGTCTGCTTACAAGGCAGGTGCTTATGTCGCTGAGCTAAATCCCCAGCCCCAACTATAACGTTTTAAGTTAGGGGCCTGAATGTGTTTACTATGTGCCTGTACTTTAGTGCGAAGTACTTTATTTGAAAATTTTAATCTCACAGTAACTGTAGAATACATTTATACATGAGGGAATGTAGGCATAGAGAGGTAAGGTAATTAGGATCAGAGGTAAGAGGTCTGAAGTGGGATTTGAATCCAGATTTGACCCAACTAGGGTTTTATGTTTCTGTGCTTAAAATCTTAAGTGATAAATAACCAAAGCAGTATCAATTCATTAGAAAATGTAATTATCCAGCAAGGTTGAAAATAGTGTTTCAATATTGGATGCATCCATATAGCTTATTACCAACGTTTTACTAGTCATTTGTTTTATCACATATTTATCCCATCTGTCCATCTTTCTGTCCTTTCCTCAGTCATTTTAATACTTTGCTGTCTTCTTTTTCTCCTCTTCTTTCTCCTCTTATTCCTCTTCTTTCTTGAGACAGGGTCTGGCTATGTACAGTTTAGGCCGGCATTGCTCTAGGATGGCCTCGAATTTTGTGCGATATTCCTGAGTCACCTCTTACGTGCTGGGATTACAGGCCTATGCCATGCCTGGCCACCTCATTGTATTTTGAGCAGTGAAAATTTAATGTTGACAGTATTAGTTTTATAAAATGTTTGGTTCTCATGCAGTTAATCATAGAGCAAGTTAAACTGTAAGTCCAAATAGTTCATTTAGGCCTGAGTTATAGCTCAGTGATAGTGCTTACCTGGCAGGCACAAGGTCCTAAGTTTGATTCCTGGTACCACAACAAAAACAAAAATAAAACAAAAACAAATAGTTCATTTAGTACAGATATTAGGCATGAGATGCATGTGTTTCAGAATTTTAAACTTTTTCAAGCTCTGATCAGTTTTAAACTGGATTCTCATTTGTTTTGACTGAATGCATATGGCATATGGCCTACTAATTAAAACATAGAATAAATTAGATGTCTAGTGTTAATTCAGGGAGATCCTACATCCAATTGCTACTAATGCTGTTGAGTGTTTTCAAATTTCTAGAATACATCTGTGTGCTTTGCATCCAATGGACTAGGTTTTAAGTACATTTTCTTTGTCTCATGTTACCTGTAAGAAGTGTTGTAATGTTAATTTTAACAATATGCAACATACACAGAATTCGTACAGGTTTTACTTCTTTTTTTTTTTTTTTTTTTTTTTTTTTGTCTTTTTCCTTTTTATCGGTACCTGGGATCGAACTCACGACTGCCTGCTTGCAAGGCAGGCCCTTATGCCGCTGAGCTAAATCCCCAGCCCCTCAGGTTTTACTTCTTATTTTGCCAGTTTCATTGCTGAGGAAAGTACTTGACTATGTTCTATGTCTCTTAGATCTGTAAACCATTTTGCTGTTGAGTTTGTTTTTGTTTTTTGTCTTTTTGAGATGGTCTTGCTATGCAGTTCAGGCTGGCCTGGAGCTCATTTTGTAGCCCAGATTGGTCTCAAACTTGCAGTGATCCTCTTGCCTCAGCCTCTCGGTTGCTGGGATTATAGGCATGCACCACCACGCTCTGCTTCTTGATGTTTGTTTAGAATGTGCAGCACAGTTTTTTTACATAGTGCAAATGTGCTCCCTCTCCCAACCGCATGCCTGCTGAATTTTATGTGGATTACATATGTGCACTCCAAGGAGGTTAATTGGGACTGTGGAATACAATTATTTTTTAAATAAATTGTTGGCCTTGGGGTAAACTATGTGCACAGACCTGGATGATAACTTTAGGTTATTTAATTTCTTTCTTTCTTTCTTTTTTTTTTTTTTTTTTTTTTTTTTGGTACCGGAGTTCAAACTCAAGACCTCATGCTTACCAGGCAGGCACTTGAGCTGCTGGTTATTTATTTGAAATTGAATTCATAGTATGATGTATATATGATGCTTATTGCCTTTTAGATTTGTAATCATAAGTCATAAGAAAGTTGTTGAGCAACTGTGCTGGTTGAAGAGCTGTGTGCTAGGCTTTGTGCTATGATGTTTATGATCATTCAGGATGATAAATGCTGGTTCTGCTAAATTATTTGAATTCTTTAATGGTGGAGCTTTTTTTAAAGGAGGTAGTACTGGGGTTTGAACCCAGAATCACCTGCACTGGGTATGCAAATGCTCTACTACTAAGCTGCATCCCCAACTCTTCAAATTTTATCTTCCAAGTTTTGCTAAGTTTCCCAGACTTGAATTTGTGATCCTCTTGTCTCAGTTTCCTGAGTAGCTGGGATTATAGTATGTGCCATCATGTCTGCTTATTTTATTGCTTTATTGCATCTATAATGCCCACGATCTCTAGGTAATTGGAACTCAAGGATTTTTTGCTGATTTCTACTAAGAAAATTTTACCTATTAGAGCAGAGACTATGGTTTGGGTACCAGGTTTTCTGCTTTGTAATTTTGGGGGCTTTGTAAACTTTTTGTGTGTGTGTGATACTGGGGATTGAACCAAGGGCCTTCAAGCTGAACTACATCTCTAGTCCATTTTAACGCTTTCATTTTGAACAGAGTCTCCCTAAGTTGCACAAGCTGGGTTTGAACTTGCAGTTCTTTCCTGTGCTTTCGTATTTAGGAATCTTACTGTTTGGGATTACGATTAGGTGGGAGAATGGCTGCATTTTAAGACCGTTTGGTTAACAACTTTAAATTCTGTGTAGCCTTGCCTGAGGTCTTATTTCGCTGCTTGTGGACAGCTAGAGCAATAAGATATTAATTAGACAAGTTAATTTGATTATATTCCCAATTTGTGAATGTGGGGGAGCTGAATATGTGGGTGGGTCAGTACATATATCATCTCTTTGATAGAGAATCAAATTCAGTATCCTACTGATTGTATATGAAGACCTCCCTCCACCGTATACACACGCCATACACACTCTCACTCACACCCTCGCTTGGTCACTTGTTCCCTCCATCTCTGTTTTTAGGGTCAGGATTTTATCTTTTTATTATTATTTTTTCCTGTTTTTCCAAATGCATTTTATTTCAAAAAGAAGAAGAAAAAAACATCCAGGATTTTATTTTTATGAAGTCTTTTAAGATTGTAAAATTTTTGTTTTCTAAAATAGGTTTTAAGATCCATTGGGTAATCATGTAATACATAGTTGAATTATTTATTCCTGACTATTAAGATGGTGTGTCTTGAATAAGATTTCTAAGTCTAGCAGCCATATTTTATTATATTTTTTCAAAGTTTACATGCAGTTCTTGTAGATGTGTTTATTTGGTCTCATAAGATATATCTGTATCATACTTGTCTGTGTTAAATTTATGAAAGGCTTAAAAACTTAGGATATGTATAACTGTATATTTAAATTTTTGTGAACTCAAACTGGCTTTTCTCCCCTCCCCACATGTGTCTATGTGTGCTTGTGTATGTATGAAATTTTTTTTTTCTTTTTGAGACAGGGTCTCACAATTGCAGTTCAGGCTGGCCTTCAGTTTACTTTGTAGCCCAGGCTGGAACTCGCAACGATCCTCCTGCCTTAGCCTCCCGAGTGCTGCGATTATAGGCACGAGCCACGATACGTGGTCTATATGTGTGAATTTAAGAGGAAGGGCCATTGTCATTAATTATCTTCTGGGAGTAGGAATGAGAATGGAAAGTATAAAAGTAAAAGTTTTGCAAAATGGAAAAAATGTGTTCTGTTAAATGAAAATAGACTATGAAATGTTATATGTAATGTTATTGTAATATATGAAAATTATATATACCTCTAGACAAGAAACAAAATAGATGAAAGCATTGATTTCATTAGTTGATTATGGAGTTCTATATTTTTGTTTTAATATTTTTTAATAAAATTATTGCAAAAGATTGATCATTTTTGATTCTTCAATGAACTGTTTTTTGGCTAAATATATTAAAAACGTGGTGGTTCAGCTCTTCGTTGAGTATTGGAAGAAGCCATTCTGAAAAAAAAAAAAGAAAAACAATCTAGGCTAGGGATTTAGCTCAGCGGCTCAAGTGCTTGCCGTGTAAGTTTGTGAGTTTGATCCCTGGGTACAAAAAAAAAAGGAGAAGCCATTCTGGTACTAACAAGATTCTCAGTTTTCACAATGCTTCCTACCTGTAACTACAAGAGACGTTTATAAATAATGATAATACTTGGTATTTATACCCCCCCCCCCCTTTTTTTCTTTTGGTTCTAGCTGGCCTTGAACTCACTATGTAGCCCAGGCTGGGCTCAACTCCTCCTGCTTCAGCCTTCTGAGTGCTGGAAATATAAAGTATATGCTACCACGATTGGCATGTTTCTTTTAAAAGAAAATACAAACTATTTTAAAGCGTAATTTACTTTAAACATGAAGGTTTTTTTAAAAGACTTTTTTTTAACTTACTGAAGAAATTATTAATAGCTAAATTGCAACCCCTTGTTCCTTTTTTTTTTGGGTACTGGGGATCAAACTCACAACCTCATACTTGCTAGGCAGGCGCTTTTGCCGCTGAGCTAAATCCCCCGCACCCCCCTTCTTGTTCTTGAAGCTCAAACTGGGACACTTTGCATGCCGGGTAGTACAGATAGTATTATATTCATTTGTACAAAATTTCTAATCTTTGGCCATTTGTCCTAAAAAATGGTGTTTTTTAATGTGGTTTCTTCAGTATAGTGTTGCGGTTGGTTTAGAGCCTGGACTTGTTGGTTAGTTTATAGTTTAGATTTGGTATTTAGTATTTTAGGGATAGTGATAATTGTTATCTGCTCATCCCATATTCACACAGTTTCCTATTCTTAGGGAATACTCACAATTTTTTTTCTTGGTATACTGAGAACTGAGCTTTAGGGACTTTGGACTGAGCTATATCCCTAGTACTTCTTATTTTGTTATGTTTTTAAAATTTTGAGACAGAATCTTAGTGGCTAAATTGCCCATTGTTGGCTCTAAGTTGTGATTCTCCTGTATCAGCCTCCAAGAGTGCTGAAATTAGAGGTATGTGCTACCATATTTGGCTTCAGTTGTCATTCTGACTCTGTAGAAGCTTTAACTATCTACCTTTGACCAAAATAATAACTTTTTATTATCTATCTAGATTGGAGTCTACCACTTCAGTAGGCTCAGAGTCAAGGATCTTATGTTCCTCTTTCATTACATGTCCCAGCATGTCTTATAAATGTATTATTTGTAATATTGACATCATGCATACTATGTAAACATTTTTAAAAAGTTTTTTTTTTTTTTTTTTGAGACAGGGTCTTGCTGTACAGTTCAAACTGGCCTTGAGCTCACTGTGAAGTCCAAGCTGATCTCGAACTTGCAATGATCCTCCTGCCTCAGCTTCCCAAGTGCTGGGATTACAGGTGTGCACCACCCCACCCGGCTCTAGTAAAAATTTTAAAAAATATTTGTTTCTTGTGTTTCATCATTCTATATCATAAATACAAAATGAGACAGTAATCCTAGCACTCTGGACATTGAGGCAGAGTGAGTTCAAGGCCAGCCTGGACTATATAGTGAGACCATGTCTTAAAAAATAAAAACAAGCAGAAATCCCCCATATTCTAATCATTGAGTTTTGACAACATTTTTTTTTAAAACCTTTTATTTTTTGATTGCTGAGTACCAAACCTAGGACTTCCAGCTTGCTAGATAAGCATTTTATTGTCAAGCTAAATCCCCAATCCCTTGACAATATTTTTAATGTTTTTACCATTCTTTTTATATGACTTCTTGTTTTTCCCTCCTTTTCTTTCTTTCTTTTGGTTGAAATTCAAGGAACTATCACATAACACTTTAAGTAACCTATAAATATTTGTGTATATATTTCTAACAGGTAAGAATTTTTGACAAACCACTGGTACAGTACTGTCATGTCTACCAAAATTAAGAATTCTTAATCCAACCTGTGTTGAGATTTCATTGTTTGTTTGTTTATTTATTTGTAAGACAGGGTTTCACTTTGTAGTGTAGGCTGGCTTTGAACTCACAATGTAGCTCAAGCTGGCAAACTCACAGTGATCCTCTTGCCTCTCTGCCTTCTAGCGCTGGGTTACAGATGCACTTCACCACACTTGGCTTTCATTGATTCTTTAAGTGTCCTTTTATACTTCATTTGTTTAAATCATTACCCAGATAAGTTCTACATATTTGATTTTATGTTTCTCTTAAATCATTTGTAACCATTCTCTTTGCTAATACTGTATGTATACCCAGTACTTTTTTTCCCAAGATAGACATTTGGAAAACTCTAGGTCATTTGTCCAAGAGAAGTTTTTACATTTTGGTTTGTCTGAGTAAGTGAATCCTCGTTATAGTGCTTAGCATATTTCCACACCTCTCATATCTCCATAAGTTGATTGTTAAATATAGAGCAGTAGTTCTTAACTTTGACTAAAACTTTAGACTTACTTCATGAACTTCAGTTAGACGAGTTAGTCAGAATCCATGGAATGAAATCTAGGCACAATGTTAAAAAAATTTCCTATGTGATTACCTTCTGCAGCCAAGACTTGAGTGTTTAGTTGATAGAGCTTGATGAGATTTAGATTCAGTTTCTTTGGCAAGGAAAATTTTATGATCATATAATTTATTTCCAAACAATTTTGAGAATGATTCTGTTAAAAATCACCTAGAAAAAACTCCATAAATGGGGTTTTCTAGATAAATTAGGATGTATAGTCAATATCAGACGGTAGTACAAATTCTTGTTGGATCATCGAAGAGGTTAATAAGTGGTTGTCCCTCATCTGTGATAGAGAAATTGATCATTTGGTTCAGGTTTTGTCAGTGGTATCTAAACATAGTTTGTTAACTTTCATACTGTGGATTTATCCTGATTGAGTGTTGCCTGGATACATTGTTTCATTGGAGAGTAGTTTTTCTGTCCTTTTCCCTATATTTATTAAGTAGAAATCTTCTACACAGAATTCTGTCATCAGTTAGTTATCTTATAATATCCATTATGTAGGAAAAGTGAGGCAAATGATTTTTTCTTCCTTTCATTGAAATTAGAATACTGAATTGATGCTCTAGCAACTCAAAGATTAAGTTTAGAAGGGATAAATTATGAACTCATGAATTTTAATGTATTTCCTATGTTTTAAATTGGTGAGGTCATTATTTTTGTGAGCTTTGTTTTTTTCTTGGAATGCTGGGAATCAAACTGTGAGCCTTATGGGTGTTAAGCAAATGCTTATCACTAATCTGTGCTCCCAGCTCTATTATAGTCATTTTTGATGTTCAGTTTTATCACATCCTTGATCATTGGTAGTCTGTCCTAGTTTTCTGAGACTTGTAAATTACTATTAATGACTTAAAACAATAAAAAATCATTCTCAGGTCAGTAGGCTACAGATCCCAAATTAAGGTGTTAGCAAGGTCATATTCCCACTCAAAGGCTCGAGAGCAGTGGTGGTGAACCTGTGGCATGCATGCTGCAGTGGGTTGTTAGTGTTATTGAAAGCTTCAAAGGGTTGCCATCACTGCTATAGAGACAACTCCCTTGCCTCTGTGAGCTTTTTTTTTGGGGGGGGGGCATCTCACAATGTAGTGCAGGCTGGCCTTGAACTTGCTTTTGTAACCAAGGCTCACCTCAGACTCATAGGGATCCTCCTGTGTCAGCCTCCAAATGCTGGGATTACAGGCATGTGCCACCATGCTAGCTGTGAACTTTGGTGACTTGATGTGTGTTCCTTGGTTTATGGCAGTATAACTGGTCCTATCTTCCATGGCCTTTCTATATCTTTCTTTTAAGAACATTCTTCATTGTATTTTAATCCAGAGAGATTTCATTTTAAGATTTTTGCCCTTATTACATTTTTGAGGACTTACGCAGCTCAGGCTCACCTTCTTAGATTCTGAATGTGGATATACCTTTTGGAAGCCACAATGTAATCATTCCAGTCTGCCCTTTAGCCATCAAAACTTTATGTGTATCAAGTATGCAAATTATGTTCACTTATAGATAGCATGAACGCTTGAATCCAAAATCTGTAAATATCATATGTTCAAAAGGTCCTGAATCTTAGCTGAGTATGGTGGCACATACTGTGATCCCAACTACTTTAGAGGTGGAGGCAAAAGGATTGCAGTTCAAATCCAGCCTCAGAGCCTGGACAGTTTAATGAGACTCTCAATAACATTTTAAAAAAAGGGCTGGGGCTAGCTTAATGGCATATCTGAGGCCCAGGGTTCAACACCCAGTGCTGGGGAAAAAACAATATGGATGTGGATTCTGGTTATGATCTATCTGGGGCAAAATTCCTTTTCATTTGTGGACCTATGAAACTGGAGAATATGTTACCTGCTTCCAAAATAAGAGAGGCATAAGATGGACATTCTTACTACAATAAGAATGAAAATGAAAGGGGAAAGGACCAGCAGGACTCATTTTTCTACATTTAAAGACCTACTAATCGCTGGCACAGCAGTGGCACATCCCTGTAATTTCCAGGCTTTTGGAAACAGGCAGGAGCATCACAAGTCTAACCAGGGCAATTTAGCAGTTCAGTTTCAGAAATTATAAGGACTGGGAGCCAGGTATGCTGACATGTTTGTAATCCCAGTTCTTTGGGAGGCTGAGGCAAAAGGATTGCAATTTTGAGCCCACCCTGTATGATTTAGTGATCGAGCAAAGAATCTGTCTCAGAAATAAAAAAGGGCTGGTGATGTAGTGGCTCTGTGAAAGCCTTGGATTCAATCCCTAGTACCACCAAAAAAGAAAAGAAAAAGGATGTTTTGTGAGTAATCCTTTTGGGCCCATGGAGGATTTGCCGGCCCTTGCTCTGGACCTGTTTGTCCTCTGCCTCTTTATCTGTGATTTGCTAAGAGTCATTTTAAATTTTTTTGTTTGGAAGGGAAGTACATACTTGTAATTAAATAGCTCTGTTTACTCATTACCTGCCTAAAGAATCCTAGATGTCAGTTTTTTGTTTTCATTTTGTCTCTTCTGTTTCAGTGTATTTGAATAGTTGTTTTTGCTGGTATATTCCTGAAAACTCTGTGAATCTTGTGTGTCAAAGTGATTCACGTTGCTGGAAAAGAAGATTCTTCACAGACCCTACCTAGTAACACCATCTTTATTCCTGGCTTTTGTTGATATGGTTGACTTGATCCATGAGTCACACAGCTAATATCTACAGCATATGATTGTCCAACCACACAGTTGGCCCTTTTTCTAGAACATATTTCTCTTAATACTGAATTTTAAAATTTTAACATCCTTTGTAATCTAGATAATCTTGGAACCTTCTCAGTAATCAGGAATTGTTTCTTTTACCTAACAGTTACTTCCAGAATGTTTTTTCTCTTGCGTTTCACTTTATAGCCTAAGCTGGCCTTAAATTCACAGATATCCTCTTGCCTCAGCCTCCTGAGTTTTGGGATTACATTCTTATGCCACACTACCCAGCTCTTAAATTTTTTTCTATTAGATTTTTTATTTATTTTATATTATATATATATTTTTGAGATAATCTGTTGCTAGGTACTAACTGGTCTGGGCTGGGCTCAGACTCATGATCTTTCCGCTTTACCCTCCCAAAGTGCCGAAATTACAGACATGTGCCATCATTCCTGACCTGTTTTTTTTTCTTTTAATGTGTTAAAATATACATAACATGAAGTGACATAAGCTACTCTTAGATTCTTAGATGTCATCCCAGACAACTGAACTCATAGAAGCCAAGAGTAGAATCATGAGAGTCTAGACCCTAGGGGAGGAGAAAATAGGGAGATGTTGGTCAAAGGTTAGGAAGTTGCAGTTAGAATAAATGTACTGTATTTATGATGATGAATAACTTGGTTCAGTCATTACACACTGTATACATACACTGATACATCATGTGTACCCTATAATTTATAATTATTTATCAGAAAAATTTAAAAAGCTATAAAACTTATATTCCAACCATTTTAATTATATAATTTTATGCCATTAAGTACTTTCACAATATTGTATTACTATCACCAGTCTCTCTCTTGCCCCAAATAGAAATGTTACACATTAAGCAGTAACACCCCATAGGCCTTCTCTCCACCCTTTGTAAGCGCTTTTAATTTCTGTGAAGTGGCCTATTCTAGATGTGTTATATAAATAGAATCGTACAATATTTGTTGTTTGGTATCTGGTTTATTTCATTCAGTATGGCATTTTTTTGTCTTTTTTGTTTTTATCGGTACCAGGGATCAAACTCAAGACCGCACACTTGCAAGGCAGGCACTTATGCCGCTGAGCTAAATCCCCAGCCCCACAGTATGGCACTTTTAAGGTTCATCCAGTTTTAGCAAATATTAGAACTTTCAATTAGCAGTCCTAATGGCACAGGCCTGTAATCTCAGGAGGCTGAGGCAGGAGTATCAC